AGATAAATCCAAGACCGAAAATCCGATACCTATGATTCTCACGAGTGTTCAAACAGTTTAAGTAAACACGTATTTTTTTATATTCAAAGTTGAATGAGAACTGTTGTTGGAATTTAGGTCAGGGATACAAACTGCGGGTATAACATCTGAGCCTATATAACTTCGTTGTTTTCGTCTGTTAATTCTTAGACATACATACATATTCTAACTTGTTTTCTCTCATTTGTTACTTGTATAATCTTCAGTATTCATCGATAATAGACTTATCATCATCCTTACCTTTTATTTCATTAGTAATAATAATTGCTCTGTCCACGTTTTATGTAATACGAGCTTTTGCACGTGGCTTCGCTCACATGATTTGATTTTTCCATCCCTCGTGAATAGTGCTTATATTTGTTGATAAAAGTTTCTCTATGTTCTTCTCTGTATCCCTGACGAAGTGTATGTAAATTGTTATGATAATCGTATAAACGGTAAGGCAGATTATTACACATTAGATAGTGAGAGTGTGTCATTCGGACCCACTCAGTGTGACTAACGTAAGTAGTCGCCTCGTAACGATTTTTATTTTCATAATTAATTTCACGTTCGTTTATTCTTTGAGGATTAATTAGTACCTAAACATAAACTACATATGTATTTGCGGCAATTATAAAATATCAACTAAGCAGCTTTGGTCTTTTTGTGTAAAATCTATTTGTGTAAAATACTTAGTCAACCATCCCACAGTGCCACAACAGACGTCATATCACCCGTAAATAGGACTATATTTAAACCGCCTTGAAGGGCCACATGGAAAAATATTTAATAATGCAACTATTCATAAAATTTCATTGAAAAAGTGTTTTAGTTGCGAATTTGAATATATTTATAATTATGGTTTTTTTATAGAACATTAGACTTTATTAACCTTGATATCATTCAGATATGATATATCAGAGCCGTAAATCTTTTGGAAAAGAAAATATCGTACACACTAGACTTACCTAGCCATCTCGTGTATTGTAAAAGACACCACTGAACTTGATCCGATAATATCCAAAAACTTTTCATTTTTTTAAACTTATCTTTCTTTCACTTCATGTGCAACCTTTAAAGCAATTTTAGAAAAGCTTTTTGAAAATGGTTATGGTCAGGATCTTACGAATGAAATAATTGATATAGACAAATGCATAAGTTGTCTGTTAGAACTTCCTTACGGTGGTGTCGTTACCAAAAAAAATCGTAAACAACACCCCAGTGGTGGTGGTTCAGCGGTGTCGTTTACGATACAAGAGCTAACTTAATAACTTAGAGAATAACCCTCCACCATGTGTATTCGATCAATAAAATATGGATAATGACTTTCATCCTAGAAGTAAAATTCATTTATTTCGATATATTTTTAAAGTTCACCTTCACCTGAGTCTCGCCTCTCTCCAACAAAATTTCGCCACTCCTTTATTTTGCACTTTTGATCTCAGAAAACAGGTGATAGCTAAATGCTAACAGATCTAGCTGGCTTTACACCTCTTTATTTTTCTTCGACATATGAAAAAACAAATGTTAGAAATAGTTTACTTTCCATTATCAGCACGCTGATAACAAAGAGAAAAAAAAACACAAAACATTAAAGTTATTTTTTGAAAAATCTTAACGTGGGTTAACGTCGTTTTATGTCAGTCAGTACCACTGTTATATTTTATTATCATCTCTAATTATTACCCCAACAACTAATAATTTACTTTATACTCGTATATAGAACTCGATCTCAATCGTCGAATTCTACAATGTAGTGTTTTTCGGTGCTGGTAGAATTTTGGGAATTCCGTACTAAAATCAAATTCCAAAAGCAACGGTACACAACGGTAACTGCTTGGAAAGCAGTTACCGTTGTAACCAGCCAATAACACTGGAAAAACAATTTGCATCCGACTAAAACGGATGCAAAGTGCACGAAACATCCTAAGCTAGGCGACAGTAGGTTGTACCTACAGTATCTTTGCTTCAACATACTGTGGGACTTTTTAGAAATGATATTTTGTGCGATGTTTCTTAACCATGACAATAGAAGTAATACTAATGCATTGGACTTTTACTACTTGTACTTTTTCTAACATGTTTTTGCACCTTACTTAAATAAATGTCGATATTATGTGTGTATACCCCATTACAAATTAGCCTCCAATGTCGTATGATAACCGCGTCATAATCCCACGCCTTCATCACGGTCTAGTCATAAAATATAAATGAATAATTACTATAAAGTATGTAAACATGATACGTATTACAAACCCAAACAATGACACATATAAATAGTGGCAACTTAGTAGTTGACGTCACAACATCAGTTTTCAAGTTAAACTTGGGAATTTATTCCCAACTCTGACGACATTCCTAAAACACTAATTTGTCGATCACGTTTATGTATTTTTATCATACTAAAAATTGCTTAACATTTTTCTATTATAATAAGATTTGCTTCTGGTAATATAGAACATATTTACCTTATATAGACAGGACAAGCGTGATAAGATTTTATGTTCTACTTACATGAAGGTGGTACATTAGTGAAAAACCAGAAGAGAAAGTATTACTGTGACGTACAGGAATTCAATATGATTTCCCTCATTACATTTTTTTTTATATTTATTGAGTACGTCACGGTTTTTGCCCATGAATCAGTTTAGATATATTTACACCATTGTGTAGTTTTTTATCAGTGCACACCCACAGGTCGCGGCGTCACAGGGAAATTGTACAATAGGTAACGAGACGAATTCCTTGTAGTAACATACAGTCTGACAATACGTTTGCGTTAAAATGGGACCTGCTGATATGCGTTATAATTTTGTGAATTGAATGAGCATAATTTACTAAATAAACAGTTAGAAATAGGCCAGAATCGATAGTTTTAAATTTATATAAAACTTTGGCTTTTCTATAAATTTCGATGTAACAGAGTATTAACGTAATTATTTAAACAAAATGTTTGAGTGTTTCCGGCCTGAGTCTGCCTACCAAGACATTAAAGTGTTTTTCATGAGAAATAGGTTCCATAGATAATTTACTATTACGTATATATTACAAAATTTCCAGAACTCATTTTATGGCGTTAAATTAGGAGCATATTTTTTCACTGCGGTTGTACCGGTAAAAATATAATAGAAAATGAAGAGAGTGAAATTTAACAAACATCCTATCTCATAAAACATTAAGGTTATATGATAGAGTAGTAATAGGCTACTGTGTCATGTAAACACGCTCTAAAAATATGTAGTGCATGACCTGTTGAATGCTTCATTTCTTTCTGTATTTCCTTCAAGTATGACAGTGGTCATTAATAGGCATAAAACGTTTTCCCTTGTCTTTTTTATCACTGATGAAGCCACGATTTCTGTACTTATTTGACTTAAAAAGATTTATATTTGCTTATCTGTACTTTTATGTATACTGGCGAAACATAAAACTTTCAAAATATTAAAACAATTCTAAGCACAAAATACAGGAAACACATATATTTTAAAAACAAAAAGATATTTCATTGTCAATAATGCTTTAAAATAGGCCGTGGATCCATTCAGAAACTACAGCCAATTTAAACACAATTCAACGAATCACTCAAGATAAATCAATAGGTTTGTGGCTGTTTATTTGGCTAAGAACCAGATAGAATAAGTTTATTCCGCTCAAGTTTCCTTGTAACTTTTAGTATACATATACAATATTGCTAACGATTTTCTTGTTTAGAAAAGACTTGTACTTACAAACAAACAAGTATTATTTTGGCACATTTGTAAGTGCGTTGGAGTATAAATAGTAAGTACATACATTTCAGTATGTCTCTAAAAGTGTTTTTATTTATATAGAGGAAAAAAAACACAATGTATCTGAATCTTTAACTTATTAATCTAAACTTATATAGCCAACAGTGAAAACTCCAGTTAAGTTTTGTTACACTATTGTACTATGGACTAACGAAAATCAAAATCATAACGTTACATTCGTTAACAAACACAATGTTGTATATTTTCTTGTCTCATCTTGTAATTTAAACAAAGAGCTTTTCTTTGTGGTTGTTTTAATGCCTAAACTTGGTTGATTAATGATGCATCAGATAAAGATTGTCCGTGTGGTGACGGATTAAGAATACGTAGTGTCGCTACTCCTGTTTATCCCGGGAGTGTGGTAAGAGCCGACTAAGGAAGCAAACTATATGCATGACAACAGCTCTGCAAAGAGTAGGAAAACTTGACACAAACCCTAAACCAACTCGTTTGGCCAGGGTTGTATAGTGGGCTAAAACCGCCTTCCTAAGGCTCTCCTTACTGGACTGCTGGACGTAGGCGTCTGCCTATGTCCAGCAGTGGACTATTAAAGGCTGTTGATGATGACGAAGATCCAAATTTACTGATTTTATTTCATTTCTTACTCAATGAGGAGATCAAAGATTTTTTTATCATGAAAAACTTATGCGAACTTATTATTCGTAATGGCCTTTGTCTTTATTTCTCAAAAATCTTTCTTAAAATTAAGTCTTGCTAATGAAGACGGCTTAATAACTCCTTAATTCGGGAAAATAGAAACTTTTTGTAGCTAGAATTGATTTTCCTTCACTTCAGAGTGTTAGAGGAAGCGCGTATGACTGACTGAATCTAGATTACATTTAAAGCGTGTTACCGAGAAGGCGGTATTTGTGTAGCGTTGTAGTGTGACGACAATCGTGCTACGCTTAATACGGCTTGCCACGCCGTGCGTGAACGCTGTGAACAGCTCAGTCGGACGGTAGCGCTCTTTCATAATAGACGTTTTAACGTGTTGGTGTGAATAAATAAGCTACTGAGCTGAGTGCTACATTTACGGAATTGAACATTTTAGTTACTTTCTTTTTATAAACACAATTGATTTTTGAAATGCGTGTACCTGCTGAGAGACAAAGCGTTCGTTTTACACCGGCCCGTTGGCTTCGAAATCGTGTTGCGACAATGGGACACTCAATGGATATATTGCAATTGCAGTTCAAGCGCATGCTGAACAAGGAGCTGAGCCACTTCTCGGAGTCCAGCAAGTCTGGCAACCAGATCTCGGAGTACATCTGCTCAACGTTTTTGGGTGAGTGTTTCCAAATTTATTTTATTATGTAACGGGGACAAGTAAAATATCAATCGTAAAATACTATACAACGATAAAAAATATTTTAGAAAGTAAATAATACTTATAAGAAATTAATTTTACATTTAGTTTAGTTTAGTTTTTAAAATATACATACATTCATATCTATTTATTTTTAGAGATTTTTGGTTTATAACACAACATTATACTAGAAGGAAAGAAAACCAAATAATTAAATTTTCGTTATTTAAATAGGTTTATTCTATTCTATCCCACATTGAACATCTAATTTCTGAGTATCTCCCTCTATAGTGATTGTATTTTGGACTCGCAGATCTCTTTGTCAGAAATGTACTTAACGCTTAATTACTTTAAAAACACCCAAAAGTTATTATGATAAATTCTTTACTTATTTCTGTTTCAACTCGTTCCTCATCTTTGCCATCGAAGGACAAGGACTTTTAATTATTCGCCGCTTACCTACAACACTTAGCGTAGTAGCTAAGTGTTGTAGGTCCGATCCCCACATAGGACGACACTTTGTGCGATCCACAAATTGTTGTTCTGAGTCTGGGTGTTCTTTGTGTCCGTTTCATGTATGTTTGTGAAGTCCCCCGCGACACGGGATATATTCCTAATGCGGGAGTTGTCTTTTTAAAAAAGAAAAGAAATAATAATTTCGTCACATATCCTAAAGCTAAAGTTAACTTATTTCATTATGCCTGCTTAGAAATCTTGTGCGTGTAACAACACGGTTAATTTATTCCATCCCACAGTACCTGCCGACTTGGTCAAGATAGATAACAGACAATAAACTAAACATTAGCCAGTAAACAATAAGGTACAATGTATTGACCACTAAAACTTTTGGAATTAAGTCTCTAATGTTAGGAAACATTATAACACGAGCTATTAATGTGATATTAGTATTCGTCTGCATGTAAACAAATCTCTTTAATATAAAAAGAATCTTAAGTAAATACAACTAACAGGATAATAAATGAAATGTAAATAAAGTGTGTTATCTCGCGATGATAGTGAGATGATAACCCCTCGGCATGTGCGCATCTTGGCTGTAGGTACTCCGTACAAAATATTGATACTGTCTGTTATCGAAAACCTTGTTGCGTTACAAGTCAGGCTACCTTTAACAGTAATTTGTCTAGTGCTAATTTTGTAACACACCACAAACACCAATATCCGAATAATTGTAGGTACAATAAGTTATAAATATTATTCAATAAAACTTGTAAAAAAGAGAGCTAACTAAAATATAGGATCCCGTGTCGTCATGCACAATATCTGGTAACAATATATGTATTATTTAATTATTCAAGGGGATGAATAGACATAATATTTGGCACAATCTGTTATTGAGACAAGCCTAACAGTAATAAGACTCGGAGCTTGACAATTTTAAGTAATTGAATTGTTTACATACTCTTCAACCATAAATTATGATTAACAGAACAAGTGCTCAATTCGGTCTGTGATTTTATACGCTTGGGTGAATTACCAAAGTAACTTTTACTTTAATGATAATTATATACAACAGTAACAATAGACTCAAACGGTAATAATTATATCTTCTTATGTTCTGTATATATAAATAACGTGAATTAATATGTAATTAAGTTATATTGAGTTAATCCACTCGGTAAAATATTTCTTAAAATAAATTGTACACACCTAAAAAACTGTGTACAATAAGAACATAGACATTGTTTTGCCCTTTGATGTGCTATTCTTAGCTACATTTTAAAATTAGCCGTTATTTATCTGTGTTGATAAGATAGACACTGGACTCATAGTACTAACTATCATACAAATAGATAAGCACCTTAATCCATTTAATGTGTGAGATTATATGAAAGTATATTTTAATCGTCTCATTAGGTACCCTGTTTGATAAATTGCCATAATTAGATTGCTGTCATCAAAATGTAGCGAAATGTGTTAAATAACAACGCGTAGTAGTAAAAAAATCAATTTTCGAATTTAGTTATAATCGAAATTTGAGGTGTACACTAATTCACTTAAAATAGTGACCCAAACAATAGCATCAAAATTCCATTTAACAATCGAAATAGGTACATTTTTTTTAATGACTGATAGTAATTTAGTCACCACGAGCCCCTCGTTTACACATACATAATCTAGACCGATCTAGATATTGAGTGTAACTATATTACAATTTCATATAGTGAAAGTACATCACTGTGAACTCTTTGATGATAATTTATATCAAAACCCTCCCATCGGCGTGTCTGATTAGGTATATTTCTGTACTATCATAGAACACGTACGCTACCTGACCTAGATACGTATCAATCATATAAATACGGTAATGGCTATTTCATACTCTATCCACTTTTTTGACATATTTGCCTAGTAACACAATTTGAGTAAAATAATAATTTTGTAATCGGTCGATGATATCGCTTCCTGTGTTAAAACAGCGTCTAGGTTGCAATAGAAGAATACTCAGTGATGTAGGTCAATCTAATTTTGTTATCACTGATGATTTATGTGAAGCCATAAATTAACATCCATTACTTCTCAACTTCTAGACCTAATGGGTCGAATAATAAACTCGCAGTTGTGTACTAACGTCACGTATCATTTACTTACAGATAAACAGCAAGAACTTGATATACCATCCTTACAAGTTGAAGAGAATACAGAGCGCTCCAAGAAAAAGGAAAAACCACGTCATGCTGGACCAGGCACCACCATGTCACAAGTAAGTTCATCACATCAACAGACCGCTAAATATTTATCAAATGCTGACCTAGTAAGCTTTTTAATGTTAGTTTATTTGGTTTAAAAATAATAATCTGCAACTTTTTCCACAGATATCCGGTGTTAAACGGGCATTGACCCATACAAACAGCTTCACTGGAGAACGAGTGCCCAGATACGGAGTAGAAACGCTTCACGAGGAAGAACTGGGCCGGCAGCTTGGCGAACTAGAACGATGGGGCGTTGATATCTTCCGCATCGGAGACTTGTCATGCGGTCGGCCTCTCACTGCTGTTGCCTATGCAGCTTTCACATCCAGAGAGCTATTGGGAACTCTGCAGGTACCGGCACGTACCTTCCTCGCCTTTGCTGTCACCCTCGAGGAGCATTACTGCCGCGACAACCCGTTCCATAACTCACTGCACGCCGCTGACGTTACTCAATCAACTCACGTTCTACTTAATACCCCAGCACTAGATGCCGTATTCACACCGATAGAGACATGCGCCGCTTTATTCGCAGCGTGCGTACATGACGTTGATCATCCTGGGCTTACCAATCAATTTCTGGTTAACTCAAGCTCAGAGCTCGCATTAATGTACAACGACGAGTCCGTTTTAGAAAACCACCATCTGGCTGTAGCATTCAAACTTCTTCAAAACGAAGGCTGCGACATCTTTATTAATCTACATAAGAAACAAAGACAGACACTCCGAAAAATGGTCATAGATATGGTGCTCTCAACGGATATGTCAAAACATATGAGTCTGTTGGCGGACCTGAAGACTATGGTGGAAACCAAGAAGGTAGCTGGAAGCGGCGTGCTATTACTAGATAATTATACCGATCGAATACAGGTGTTGGAGAATCTCGTGCATTGTGCCGATCTGAGCAATCCTACAAAACCTCTGCCCCTTTACAAGCGATGGGTAGCTTTACTAATGGAAGAATTCTTCCAACAAGGAGACCGTGAGAGAGAACACGGAATGGACATAAGCCCCATGTGCGACAGGCACAACGCCACGATAGAAAAATCTCAGGTCGGCTTTATCGACTATATCGTACATCCGTTATGGGAGACATGGGCGGACCTCGTACATCCCGACGCTCAAGATATATTAGACACTCTAGAGGAGAACCGTGATTACTACCAAAGTATGATACCACCGTCACCTCCACCAGCGCCTATTCAGACATCGCACTCAGGCCAAGACGATGACCGCCCAGAGCAGATACGTTTTCAAGTGAGTTAAAAACAATTTTTCATAAATTTCCACAATAGCAAGTTATTAGGGTAAAAATTCGTTCTTTTTAATTTTTTAGTTTTCTGCGTCATTCACCTTCATCGTTGGTAATTGTTCTAAAATACTCAATTATTTAAATCCAGCACATGATATAATGACAAGAATTTAAATATATGTAGTTTGTTTTGGAAGATTATTATGTTGCGGGTAATGACGCAGAAGTAAAAAGAGCGAAGAATCATCATCAAAATATTATTAAAAATAAAAATATTCACGAAAATCTAAAAATAGAAAAACAATTCTATCCTATACTAATATAGTATTTTGTCTTTTTCCAGGTAACACTAGAAGAGGGTGAAGGCTCTGAAGAGTGCGAAGGTGAAGGCGATGGTGGGATGTGACGGAAACTACTGGGAATCTGCAAGAAACTCACTGAGAAGATGCAAGTGTGGTGGAAACTCTGGCAGTAGGCGCCGGCCGGGCCGGTGTAGGCGCCCGACGCGCCGACCTCTTGTTGGATAATAGTAATACTTGTTGACGCTTACCATCGAAATGGGACGATTTTCCAACATCGTAACATTTCGAGCATGATTATTTTTATGTGATTATTATGCAATGTTGTTTAGAAAATACCTAACGACTAAATAATTATGTCCCTCCAATGACTGTAAAGTTCGATTGTCTAGTATTTTTACTATTGTTTCGTTTTCTCTAACCAAAGATGTATGAAATGTTGTTTCGTTCGCACAGACGTTCGATAATCCCTGTAAGTAGATAGTATTCGGTTCTTAATGAGTCGTATAAGTAGTTATAGTCATCGACGCCGCATATATCGGCTTGACTAAATAAGGACATTGAAAACGCTTATTAATTGGTATGAAAGGGTAATTTATATTGTCATATCATCCACGTTTCTCATATTTAATACGGGTTTGCGATAATGATGTTATTCACCAAAATATATTAACGTAATAGATATCCTAAATATAAAAACTATTTTAAGGTAAATTTTAAAAATTGCCTTTCAGAGTTGTTGTTGTGTCTTTTTTCTGAATATATAATATTCGGCCAGCCTCTTACTGCGTAGTGAACGTATTTTGAGCAGAACCCCCGCCGATTGATATAGATACAGAACCTAGGGAAAACATCAACGCATAATATATGTATTTATTCTGTTATAAAAAATGAATGCTTTCTAAGCATAGATGCATACTCCCTTGTAAGGCCAACAAACTCTCTGTGTTGGAGGGTCGAGCACATACTTACAACTCTTCTCGTTAGATCGGGGTCAAAAATGACATTTTAAAACGTTCATCCTATGAGAAAGCTTTACTTAATTTCGTGCACCTCATTACTTATAGAGGATCGCTGGCGATCTGTTTACTTTTCTCTTTAGAATAACGTATTATTTTTGTAAAGCTGCGTATTCTATTCTACTGTTCTTTGTCCAAATAGAAACAAAAAGTTAGTAAGATCTTAAAGTTTTCGTGTACGCAACTAACGGCTTGAAGTGTTTGATTAAAGTTTTAGGTACTAACAAATGAGTGGTTTTTACAACTAAGTTTTATTTTGAGTGAATTCAAATACTTGCTGAATTAAGTTGAAACTCAACGGCACGAAGGCCGCGTCTTGCAATAGTACGTAGTAGGTAGTTCCCAAAACACTTCGCGCAATATTTTATGATCATTGATTTCACACCAAATATGCTCCTCACATTATTCAAAATCATATCAAGTTATATCAGAATTGCTGTGCAGATCTGATAATTCTAACTCTGTAGAACAATACGTTTTATGTACATAATATATAAGATCTCCTCTTTGAGAAAATCTGATAGCAGTTTTTGCGAGGAAAATTTCTGTCAGAAATAGATTCAAATATTGGAAGGATATTCTTCTACGCCAATAACTATATATATAATATATCCTGTAATGGCTTCTTGCATCTTTGTGACTATGTTACCAAATAGTAAGTAGTAGTTTCTTCACTTCACTATATAAACTTTACGTTGGTACATTCAAAATTATATAAGAAAGGTGTATTACTTATTGAACCTGTATTATTTTGCATTTCATTTGCCATTGTTTTATTTTTAATGAAAGATTTTTAAGAGCTGGTCTCTACTCCTTCATGTACTCAAAAGATATTTCGCTTTAAACTGATTGAAACAATTTAGTTCCTGTCACTTCACTTGTTTTGTAATTGATCGTAATACATGTCCTGTAGTATTATTGAAAGTATTTTCTAAGTCATCGTTTGTGTCAGTCATCAGCATCAAGAAGAAAGGTCCAATGAACATTATTTTCGTAGATAACTTAAGATTTTAACGTCGATTAAATACTACGGGCATATATGTGCATCGCCTGTCTTCGAAATGTCTGATTTTGAAACTGCATAGATTAGAACTTTGGTACCTACGTCAACCTACATATTATATATATACATACATACATTCATACATACCTACTACATTAAAAATTGGATACGCTTAACTACTTGTGTGTTATATAAAATAGAAACATTACGCTTAGAATCATTTATTTTTAATTAAATACATACGTATTTGTAACTAATTGTGTTGAATAATAATTATGATATTCGTACTGCAGTAGATCTGTGTATTACGTACGTTCCCAATCTTTGGTAATTCACATAACGTGAACACTTGCATGTACCTACCTTGTACCTTTACCAAATTGTCATAACCTTTAAGAGCAACTACACAATAAACAATATACACCCAATCAAATGTATAGATAACTAGATATATTGTATTCGTTGTCTTGTCTTATTTTAAATGATTTGTCTATTTGCCTACTAAATGCAATAAAAGGATACCTGTATGTAAATATGACATGTCCGATTCGCCACCAAGCCTTGTCACCTGTCGTGCGTATGCTCAGTGACGCACTGATTAGTGATCTATAACCAAAGAATCGATGATGAAGAAAAATAGGTGCACCTGACATGTCATCTTTCAATAGTTATATAGACATTGTTTTCACCAAAGGTTTTCAGTGTTGTGTATATGTTTTGTCACTATGGAGAACTATCGTTAAGATTGGATAATACCTAGTTAAATATTAAACCGAGTTAAAAGTGTGCAATGCTGGTCATTTGCATAACTTATTATTTATGATTAAAATAAAAAAAAATAGCTTGTAATAGTTTAAATGAATATTTGAGTTGAATTAAAGAATATTAATGTATTTAGAATAAAAAGATATGGGAGAAAACTTTTTATTGGTTTCATTTCAAAACAAAGTTTTCAAGTTATGTTATTATACCCACGTAACACGCATTTAACCCCCGCCAAATAAAACGGCGTCACATCAAGCAATATTATGATATAATGTGGAAAGTGTTAACTTATCACTACTTTATGCAGTAGAAAAAGGTGGTCCAGGCTGTCTTTGGTATGTATCTCAAGAACCCTAAAGGGATAAATTGAAGGAAAAAATAATATTATGACGATTTATTCTGTTTTTTTGAAATTGAATGTTTACTTTTTTGTAAAAATTATCATTGCTTTTTGCTCCCATGGTGTTTTTGAATTTTATCAACATTTGGGGGCCAATTTCACCCCTATTTTTTTGCCGAATAATTCGTCCAATTTTTTAAATTTCGGCCGTTTTGCTTCCATGACTATTTAAATTGTGGTAGTTTTGTAACAAGGGCATTTTGCTTTTTAAATGCGTTGCCTTTTTTAATTAAGGACGTTTTGCTCCCATGCCATTTTACGCTATATACATTTTCCAAACAAGGACATTGCTCTGAGAACCACCCGCTCCGAATTGGTAGCATCAATTATACAGGTCCGTTGTACACAGGATTGTCACGTACTGCGTCGCACAGTGTGTTATTTTACCTTAGTTGCGTAGACATCCTCTTATTAAGGGCTTTTGGGTAGACATCTTTAAAATATATTTATTTCTAATATGATCACTTAAATATAACAACAACAATTTTTAAAGCTAATAAAAGGTGCAAGAAAGTGAAAAATAAGGGAGGAAATTCTAGTATCTAGTACAAAAATAAAAATAAAATAAGGAATAAAAATTAAATAAAATTAAGTTAGAATATTTACAACATTAACACTATCTACATACAAGCATCAAATAATTCCTCCGCATCATCGCCTACTGGTAGCGTTCCCAGAAGACTGGCAGCATTGCCACGTTGAATGGCAATGCTGCCATTCTCTGTGCTAGAAAAAGACCAGCCTTCTGATCACGAGAAGTGTCAATCAGTAGTTTAGCTAGCTGTTTATATATAGTACGAGCACTTGGACCCCATGACCCTAAAGTTTTGACCCCAAACGGTTCAAAAATGTAATTTCCTAGTAATTTCTGATATTTACGCCGTTTGAGGGTTTCTGCAGATGCAGCAGCAGCGCCGACGTAACCAGCAGTGCTTGGCAAATGTGATGGCGCAAGGGTGTCGACGCAGGTTGCGGCCTACACCAAAGGCTTACCCATCTTCCATGGCAGTAACGACATACCGTCCGGTCTCTTCCCATCGTCTCGAACCAGACCATTGGGTTTACGTACAGCTGGAACGCCGGCGGTAACAAGAGCCCGACGGCTAATGTCGTTAATATTGGCATGTCGAGATATACGGCCAGCGCTTCTGCTACAAGAATAGCCATGATGTCCAAGACTGTCAACAGCTTCTCCGCAGTGACAAAGATGCGGAGAAACACAAGGCGCACCTAAACGAAGACAAGTGGCAAGGCGAAATGTAATATCGTAGAACAAAGTGCCTATGTTGGGCGATGGCAGTGCCTGAATCCATAAGCCTGATTCCCATTCTCCCACAGCTAACAAACGAGCGCGCTCAGCAAGATTTATTGCTGTATTGATCAATGTTTTTTGTTTTAAAATACATAGTGGCGCGTTCCATTGTATCTGAGAGGGTGGATTAACAGGTAATATTGTATTGGGACAAGCTATCCGCCAGGCATGTATGGCGTCGGCCTTGCAAGACACTTCAGAATCAACCAGTGTGCTTATTAGAATTTTCCTGGTTAACTCTTCTGTGCCATGGACCGAAGACAGAAATGCTGGAAGGCTGACATCTACAATTTTACGTACTCCAAGACCACCCAGACGAACTGGTAAGTATGCTTGGAGCCAGTTTCGATCATTAAAAGCTATATTCAACACTTCACTAAGGGTGTTTTGAATAATTTTGTCAACTTTTTCTAAAAGTGATGGGTGTTTCCAAAGTGGGGATGACCGAAGTGCATGTATAAATTTAGGTACAAAAAGACAAAAACGGAGTATAGTGAAAGCCGAATGGACATTAATTTTAAGTAAAAGATCCGAAAAATCACCAAAATTTTTAAAATAAAATGTATGTTAAAAGTCTCCCAGTTTTACCTATCGTAGTTTCAGAGGAA